AGTTAGGGACCCTTTAACCATCTTATAATTTTAAAATGTTCAAGGAGATTTAAGTTTAAGGCTATAAAGCATTATCATAAATAATATAAAGAATAATTATTATTATTAATATGGAGATGAAATGTCTGAGCCTTAAATACTAGCATTAAGGTAGCATATACCAAGGGTTCGCACCCGATTACTCTTGAAAACATGATGCTGAAAGGCAGAACAAGGCTAAAAGAGAAGAAGAAGAAGAAGAAGAAGAAGAAGAAGAAGAAGAAGAAGAAGAAGAAGAAGAAGAAGAAGAAGAAGAAGAACAACAACAACAACAACAACAACAACAACAACAACAACAACAACAAGAACAAGAAAAGGAAAAGAAGTAATATATTTAATCAAATACAACAACCAGTGTTAGAAAGTAATATATCTGAGCGCTGAAAATATATCACAAAACAACATCTCTTAAATACAAAGTAAAGTTAGGGACCCTTTTCCACGGCATCAGCTGTTTGGGCATATAGGGCTAAACCGATATTTTATAGACCAATCGACACTCGGTGAGTCATATAGTCAACATCCCGCCAACCGCATTGACTTCCCAGGACTATACCTGGAACCCATTCAAGGCTGGGTCGACCTGGGAGCCAAGATTATTTAAAAAAAAAAACAAGTTCTGCTCCGTCAGGACCCGAACCCACGACCCTCAGGAGATCCGCAGGAGAGCATCTACACCACGGGAGCTCGCCAGCATAACATTTTTCTAAATTTGCGTTCGCCCTTTAAAAAAAATGTAAATGGAACACTGGAAGAAGAAGAAGAGAAGAGAAGAAGAAGAGAAGAAAGAAGAAGAAGAAGAAAGAAGAAGAAGAAGAAGAAGAAGAAGAAGAAGAAGAAGAAGAAGAAGAAGAAGAAGAAAGAAGAAGAAGAAGAAGAAGAAGAAGAAGAAAGAGAAGAAGAAAGAAGAAGAAGAAGAAGAAGAAGAAGAAGAAGAAGAAGAAGAAAGAAGAAGAAGAAGAAGAAGAAGAAGAAGAAGAAGAAGAAGAAGAAGAAAGAAGAAGAGAGAAGAAGAAGAAGAAGAAGAAGAAAGAAGAAGAAGAAGAGAAGAAGAAGAAGAAGAAGAAGAAGAAGAAGAGAGAAGAAGAAGAAGAAGAAGAAGAAGAAGAAGAAGAAAGAAGGAGAGAAGAAAGACCAAGAAGAAAGAAGAAGAAGAAGAAGAAGATAGGAGAAGAAGAAGAAGAAGAAGAAAGAAGAAGAAGAAGAAGAAAAAGAAGAAGAAAGAAGAAGAAGAAGAAGAAGAAGAAGAAGAAGAAGAAGAAGAAAGAAGAAGAAGAAGAAGAAGAAGAAGAAGAAGAAGAAGAAGAAGAAGAAAAGAAGAAGAAGAAGAAGAAGAAGAAGAAGAGAAGAAGAAGAAGAAGAAGAAGAAGAAGAAGAAGAAGAAGAAGAGAGAAGAAGAAGAAGAAGAAGAAGAAGAAGAAGAAGAAGAAGAAGAAGAAGAAGAAGAAGAAGAAGAAGAAGAAGAAGAAGAAGAAGAAGAAGAAGAAGAAGAAGAAGAAGAAGAAGAAGAAGAAGAAGAAGAGAAGGAGGAGAAGAAGAAGAAAAAGAAGAAGAAGAAGAAGAGGAAGAAGAAAAAAGGAGGAGGAAGGGAAGGAGAGGAGGCAGAAGAAGAAGAAAAAATAGATAATAATAATCATAATATTAATAACCAGAGAGTTAGGGAAGGCAAAGAAAACGGGGGGGGGGGGGGGGGGGAAGAAGAGGAGTAGAAATATCACAAACCATTGCAACAATGATACGATTGAGGGTCACGATACAACCCTTGAGAATGGCTTCATGTAGCCTAGTACTGTGTAGAGCAGTTGTCAAGAGCTGTTGTCCATGATAAAAATTTATAGACTTTGTCAAGCATTATTTGTTTTGATAGAAGTAATCAGAAGATTGTTAGAAATTTTAACTATAAGAAACAACCTCATACCTTTCGGGCACACTAGCTTGTTGTTAAGGATTCTGCACGGAGTTGTTTTCATAGCAATGCAATGACGTTTTCCAGTGTGCGTATTTTATAATTGTTTATTAATTACCAGTGTAGTGGTTTCGAATTGGACTGTGAACTTCTGACAATTAATATGTGAGCCAAACAGTTTTTTGAGGCCTTTGAAATGTGGTTCACAAAATAACAATTTGGATGCATTTAAAAAAAAAAAGGCGAGTGCTGTGATATCTTACTGGCGAGTGCTCTGATATCTTACTGGGACATGTAACCACTGGAAAGATCTGTTAAAAAAGAGATAGAGGAAAACAACATGAGAAGATTGTTGACAGCCTTTTGTCATGGCATGGAGGGGTGTCAGCGCATGAACCTATACATACTGTTAAAGGTCGCAGAATGTGGAAAAGTGCCATCTCCAAAGCCAGTCGACAAGGCACTTGATGATGAGCGATTTCAAGCATTCCTATAGTTACGATTTATACATGGCAGTGTGCTTTGCTTTAAATATTGTATTACTGGTTGGGGAGGGGTGGAGAGAGTATAGGGCCTAAGCAAGCTTTTTGATTACTGAGGAAATAATTTCACAGGGTCCACTTCAATGTATTTGATTGTTAAATACATAAATTCAGGGCATTGGTTTGTGAGAAAGTGAGGAAAAGGGACTTTCCTTGAGTGTTTAGAAAACCGACACTACTGTTATATCAAAGAAGAAGATAACTCAAAAATGTGACAAAGCAATAGAAGGGAAAGCGATCAGTCAAGCCAATTAATTCAAGTATATGGAGACATTCATTATATCAGTTGGACGATGTGTGACAGAAATTAACAGCCGAATTGGCCAGGCAAAGGGAGCATTTCAGAAGATGAAAAGTATCTTATGTAATAAATGACTCCCATTAAACATCAGAAATCGAGTACTGAAATGTTATATCGAGCCTATTTTGTTGAATGGAATTGAATCTTGGAATGTTAGTAGCAAATTAAGAGTTTGGGGGCAACTAAGACTTAGTTCTTCAGAAGAATGTTGCGAATACTTTAAACTGTCAGAATAACTAACAATGATTGCGTGGAAATGGCTAATGAAAGTATAACATTATATACAACAACGAGAAGGAGACAAATAAAGTTCTTTGGTTATGTGATGAGAAAAGGAGAACTGGAAATTCTCGTGATGACTGGAAAAATCGCTGGTAGAAGGGGCAGAGGGAGACCAAGAGAAATTAAGGTGGATGGCTTGCGACAGTGGCATGAAGGAATATCATCAGTGGAATTGATCCAGAACACCAGAGACTGAGATATGTGGAGATGCATGAACGCCTACGCCAACTTACAAGGCACTTGATGAAGATGATGATGATTGGTTAGTGACGAACAATTCAGAATGTCATCTCATATACTAGACTATAGAGGAAATAAATTGAGGTCTATTCCAAGTGATAGATTATTTAGAAAATAAATTCATAGGCACTAACTGGCGTCTAAAAGTTAGCTGGATATAAAAGATTCAAACGAGGACTGTCTTTCAGACACGGAAAACATTAAGAAACTGTTAAACTAAAGATATATATATATATATATATATATATATATATATATATATATATATATATATATATATATATATATATAATGTTTTTCATCGTCCTAAATTAGTATGTCCGGACTTCAGCGCATGTATGGCCATTTTCTGTTTGTCTATCCTCACGCTGTTTCTAATATAGCGTATTCTCCTTTGTCTTATTCTGTGGATGCCAGTAGATGTCCAGACATTTTTCTCTTATTTCTTTACCTTTCTTGAATTCAGCTCGTTTAATATCCATTATTTTCCGTAGGCATTTGCTGATTATCCATTGCAGGAAGTCAGGAATCTCTCTTGGCCAGTAGTGAAACGTCGCAAGCTAGTTTGGTTTGGGCACGTGGTGAGACCTTATTTGATTACAAAGACTCTGCTTCAAGCAGGTCCATCTATATATATAGAGAAGGCCGTGGCTTCGAGGAACATTGGGGAGTAGTCGAAGAAGAGGAGGGCAAAGAAAAACTGGAATGATAACATCAAGAAACGGACCAGACTAAGTTATCACACACGTATTCATCAAGCGGAAGACATAGAAAGATGGCGGGTTTTATGTGCTAGTGCTTCCATTAATACACCTCCCCTTTACACGTAAATGGTTCTGTTATGCTATTTAGGCATTTGATTTCCAATGTATTCAACTTTCCTTCCATGCCTTTGATGGTTCTCCAGTTTTTCACTGGCATATTTCAAAACAAGGGCAGCCGTCGTGGAGTAGCGACTAGATGCTCTCCTGCAGATCGGGAGGTCGTGGGTAGGGGTCTTGGGGAAGCTGGACTTTTTTCAGCTTGGTTCTCAGGTCGATTCAGCCTTGAGTGGATACCAGGTGCTGACCACATCACCCACCCAGTGCCTATTGGTCTATAACATATAGGCGTAGCCTTATATGCTCATTGCGTCTGAAGGAAAAATTTCCGTTGCTTTTACTTTATGTTAAAACTGAAATAATATACGATTTAAAAATACGTAAGTAAAAAAAAACAAAAACACAAAGGACAGATCCCTTTTTCACGCCTTTAGCGCATCGGGCATATGGGAAGGGCATCGATATTTTTACAGACCAATCGGCACTAGGTGGGTAATGTGGTCAGCATTTCGCCGGCCGTCTTTACTTTCCCAGTACATACATCCTGGTACCCATTTTTTAGGCTGGGTCGACCTGCGACGCCCCATATACCATGATACAAATCCACACAGCCAGCAGTGGGTTTCGATCTCGGTACGTTGGAATTACTAGTAGGTCTCGCAACACCTAAGCCACGGACGCCGCTAAAAATACGTAACCTGGTTTTAAAAGCTTCGGTTGTCTAAGCCAGTGTCCTAATCTGGTGTTCTATATTGAAATTTAAAATTGTAAGCACAAGCGAATACTTACTGTTATGTACATTCTATGTATCAGATTTTACTAGAAAACATAAATCACTGTCGGAAATGTTCTTCATTATTTTCTTGCAGCAAAGTTCCTGGAAGAAAATTCGCAGCTTTATACTGTGGTCTCCGTTTGTCCAAGTGTTCAAGAAACATAAATATCCATGGATACAGTTGGCTGGGCACCAAGGTAATTTACTCGACTTGTCTGTAGTTTTTATGTGTGTATGTGTATGTGTGTATGTGTATGTGTGTATGTGTATGTGTGTGTGTTTTTTTTTTTATATTTAAAAAAAAATATACTTTAGGTGTATTCGATAGTTATTTATCAACACCGGTGGGGCAAAGTCGGCTTTGTAGCTAAGTCGATGCGTAATGCCTGGATGCCGGGTTCGATTCCAGCTGCGGGCCACGCGCCGTGCGTTGGTTTCGATAGTGGTATCAAGAAAGCCGACCGTTCAGTGGCAATGGTAAACTACTGGACGTAATTTTGCCTAGAAAAACCACACAACAACCAGGGGCTGTTGGTGTTGGTTCTGCAACGTCCTGTAAAGGATACGTAACTAACCGTATGTATGGTGGGGCAAAACTGTGGAAAAGGAGCGGGTAGGGGGAACAGTAAAGAATGCAGATTGCGGTGTTACAGGATTGGATAGGCCATCGTAACACTTTCGGTATCAGAAGGCTTCACCAGAGATGCCTAAGCCAAGAAACTACCACGATGAACAATTATTAATACATTTCTTTCAAAATGACAATATACACAATGATAAATACCAGCAGGGAAGGCGTTCTTCTTTAGTATCTTCTGACTAAATGTTGTTAAGTAAGAGAACATAACAAGATACGGAGGGAAATCTAGGGATGGAGTCACCAAAACTCCAGACGTTTCTTGGGATCGAAAGAGTTAAACGTCGTGGTGGACTGGAGAGAACGTTGATCGAGGCTGTAGTTTCAGGAGAGAAAAAAAAGAAGCAGAGGCTGATCAACGCAAAGGTGGGTGCAAGACTTTGAAGATACATTGGCTGTGAAAGCACATAGGGAGACGTTGTGTAAAGTACCTGCTGACTGATGATAAATATGATAACAATAAGAGTGGATTGAAACCCTACACCAGTGATATTCAACGTTCGGCCCGTGGGCCACATTTAACCCGTGAAGGTCTAGCTAGTGGCCCGCTCATCTTTGCCAATTGTATTGTATTAATGAGGTTTTCGGTACGTTCCCTCGGGCTTCTGGTCTGTGACGATCCGGATGTTCGAAATTTTAGCCCCTGAGAAGACTGGGTTGAATAGCCCTGCCCTACACCATTGCCATGTGTTTATGGTCGAGGCAACCAAAAGTGCCAGAAGCAGAACCAGAAGCAGAAGTGGTCAAAACAAACAAAGCGAAAAAGAAGAAAAAAAGATAAATGTGGATTACATCATTGCTGCTCTGTCGCCTAAAGGTTAGTAAAAGCGTTTCACACTGCAATCTTGAGCATTTACCAGGGCTGGATTTCCGCGGTGGATGGTTTAGAAAAAGGCTATTCTTTTGGCTTTCAGACAGTGGTATGAGAGTCACACCGTGGAAAAGACTGAGTCATCACCATGTAATATTCCAGTAGTCAGCAGTAAATACATTACAGCCAACATTTATTGTGGTGACGGCATATTGTTTACTTTACATCAAATTGATGAGCTTGTTGAGAAAAGAACGAACTGATAAATTAAAAAACGAATGAACTTTATTTCCAAAGGCGACGAATTGGACACGCAAGACCGTCTTACATGCGACCTTTTCAAACACTTATCTTTCACACGGCAATAGTGTTTTATGTATCACGCATAATATGTTTATGTATATAAAAGTGCATAGGATGAATTTAAAATACACAACAGAAGCATAGATGGCAAATGCATACCGTCCACCTCTTGACTGTTATCCTGTTTTAAAAAAACTGAGTGTTGCATGCGCATCCGTTTTACAGATCTGACTCATTTTTATACAGACTTTGGTTCCTTGCCTCTCAAGCTGATGTCCTCCGACTTCGAAGGAAGCTCCCAATTAGTCGACTCTTAGGACACGCTTTTGTGGGTAGGCATTATGTCTGTTCTTGTTTTCCCTAGCCCGTCTCTCTAGCGTAGTTGGCTAAACCGGATTGCGCGGTGAGTTGGTGACGAACTCCTTGTGGTCCGGGCTCACTCTCGGGGGTGAGCAGAAAAGCTACATTTCTCCAAGATTTACGGTATTTAAAATGGAATCAAGGCCGAAAGGTTGCAATATCCATAATACCGAACCTAAGGGTTAACAACTCACGGCTTCTGGATACTAAAACAAACAAAGAAACTTGTTTTGCCTACAGCAGGGCCCTGGAACCCACACGGGGATCTAAGATATTATACTTATCATGTTATTCTACATTGTTTTGTTTACAGGAAATTTTCATGCAGGAGAGGCTGGGTCCGTGTTAAAGAAATTGGACAAAAGAGAGCAGGCGTGTTTCCAAAAGTTGATGACAGATCCACTGAAGGATTTCGTGCCTGAATACCGAGGCAATGTAGTGCAAGACGGTGAAAGTATCCTTTTGTATTCAAGCAGGGGTGAAATGGGATTTACGATACCTTATTTACTAGTAAAATAAATAAATCATTCTACGTCTAAGAACAGTGTACATCCCATTACACAGCTACACGTAGACACAACCTAAGATTGGTGTATCACCATTTGCACACGCTGAACGTGGCCCAGCCAGCAGAATACAAACTTCCAAGACTGCCCCGAGTATGACACAATTAGGCAAACGTTTTGGCAACTCCCCCCCCCCCCCCCCCCCCCCCCCCCCCCCCCCCAAAAAAAAAGGGGGCAATAGTAGAAAGCTAACTCTACGAACCACTGAATAAATGAAAACAGTGAAATTTATACGAAGCAAAACTGCGGACATGGATAACTTATTTTAGGCGAACTAGAGAACAAGAAACGTTCACGTACTATGCTAGGTGTAACGAGGAAAGATCGACTTAGGAACGATGATATCAGGAGGATAGTCAGCACAGAACCAGTAATGAACTTTATAGATGGACAACAGATCAGATGGTTTGGCCATGTAATAAGATTGGCATCAGACAGAGCACCACAGAGAACAATGTTATACAGATACAACGGTAACAGCGCCAGAGGTCGACCACTCAGAACATGGACCGCAGAAATATCACACACACTAAAAAGTTCTTTATACGAAGCCCACAGAAAGGCCCGTTCCAGAGATTCTATCCTGCCTTGACGCCGCGAGGCATTCCAGGAGGAGAGAAAAGAAGAAGAACAGAAGAAGAAGATTAAGAAGAAGAAGCTAATCCACTTTCCAACTGTCATGGTGGCCAGTTTTTCAAAATACCCATTTAGACGGATATAAAAGTTTTTTTTTATTTATTCAGTAAACACAATATAAAGTGGATATCTGGAAATATATGAGGAGCGAATTAGACTGGCGTTGTCAACAAACATATACTAATGTGGGAAATATAACGAGAAGAGAATCGAACTAGCGTTATCGTCAAACATACACTAATATGGAAACTATAAAGGGAAGAGAATCGAACTAGCGAAAGGCAAGACCGACAAACCACCAGATTACGACTGGTACCATTAGTATTGGAACTCTGCGCTGGCTGCTGAGAATGGGGATGGAGCGCGTATGGGAATGCCCCTAGTGCTGTAATGTCAATTTTTGACTTAGCACAATCGAATCAGCGTTACCAACAATCGAACTAGCGTTATCAACAGACACTATTATGGCAAATATAATGAGAAGAGAAGTGTACTGAAGAAGAGTCCATAACTCACAGCCATAAGTTAAAGTAATAACGTTAATAAAATAACAGCGAGTATTGTATCCTTGACCATAGCTTTAGATTACATTCAGCTCGAGGATCTGTTGTGTTCATTCAACCATCCGTGTGTGATGGATGTGAAAATGGGCATCAGGACGTACCTGGAGAATGAGCTTCACAAGGCCAGACTGTCGCCGACGCTACGTAAAGTTAGTATGCAGTTTGTATGTGGCGAGCAAAAGGCCCTTTTGTTATGTAGTTTATGTGTAGAAAGTAAAAGACCCCACCCCACTCCAAGACATGGAGTCGTACACCTATTTGGGCAGAATTGTAGATAAAGATGGAGGAACTGATAGAGGTATTAAAATAAGATTACAAAAGGCAAGAGGGGCTTTCATAGTACTAGGGAATTTGTGGAGGTCAAAAGAAATTAAAAGAAATACAAAACTTAAAATTTTTTTATTCTAATGTCAAATCAGACTATTGTATGGGGCGGAAACATGGAGAACAACTAAGGCAATTATTAATAAATTACAGACATACATTAACTGGTGCCTGTGCAGAATAGAAGGAATTAAATGGTATGATAGAATAACTAATGTATAGCTTTGGGAGAGAACTAAACAGGCTGCAGTGGACTAAGAGGTGAGGAAAAGACGCTGGCGTTGGATAGGACACACACTGAGAAAACAGGATAAAAGCCAAAAAACGGAGAAAAGAGCTGGAGAATGAAGTTAGAAAGATTGGGAGGACATGGGGAAAGCTCCATGCAATGGCGAAGGATAGAACAACTTGGCGTGAGTTGGTTGAGGGCCTATGCTCCATTGGGGGATAGAAAAAGCAGAAGAAGAAGAAGAAGAAGAAGAAGAAGAAGAAGAAGAAGAAGAAGAAGAAGAAGAAGAAGAAGAAGAAGAAGAAGAAGAAGAAGAAGAAGAAGAAGAAGAAGAAGAAGAAGAAGAAGAAGAAGAAGAAGAAAAAGAAGAAGAAGAAGAAGAAGAAGAAGAAGAAGAAGGAGAAGAAGAGGGAGAAGAAGAAGAAAAATTCACGTTTACACCAGTGGGACAGTGGAAATATAGAAGTTCGCCTACATTTTTACAGATCAGTCGCCACTTGATTGGTGACATGGTCAGCATCACGCCTGTGGCCTTGAATGATGAGTAGTGCATCAGGAGTCGACATAACAGCGCAGCTCCATTTCTGATAGCGCCAGTAGTGTTGTATGGAAAGAAAACATGGAGAACAACTAACATAATTACTAATAAACAACATTCACTAACTGGTGCCCGCGCAGAATAGACGGAAAACAGGATGTGATAGAAAACTAATGAAGAGCTTTGGTAGAAAACTAGACAAGTCCCAGTGAACAAAGAGGTAAAGAAAAGATGCTGGAGTTGGATAGGACACACGTTGAGAAAACCTGAGAGCAATATAACTAAAATGCCCCCTTTTTTGTTGGCATTCATTTTGTATTTAATAGAGAATAGTATTAGTATTATTTCCTTTCTTTTGTCACTTTCTTTTTCCTTCTTGATTTTTTCCTTTCCTTCTTTTTACCTTTCTTTTCTTTATATCTTTCTTACTTTCTTTCTTTCTTCTTCCTCCTCCTGCTTTTCTTCTTTTTCTTCTTCTTCTTCTTCTTCTTCTTCTTCTTCTTCTTCTTCTTCTTCTTCTTCTTCTTCTTCTTCTTTTCTTATTTCTCCTCCTCCTTCTGACATCTGCTTCATTCTTTCCTATTTCTTCTCTGTTCTGCTGCTGATGCCATTAGTAAATGGTGTTAAATATTAAACGAATACGAAACAAATATTTCTTTAAAGAGAGAGAAAGGAATTAAAATCTTTTCTTCTACAGTATTGTCTTTACTAAAGTGTTATCTGTGATGCACTTGAACAATTGTTGTGTCCCCTGTAGGACATGTATCAGAAAATGATAGAGATCGACAGCGCAGCTCCCACGCCAGAAGAACGTGAACAAAAAGCGGTCACCAAGGCTCGGTACATGCAATGGAGGGATGAGATGAGTTCTTCCGTTCAGTTTGGATTTCGTGTCGAGGGAATTAAAGTAAGATAGCGGACGTACAGTGCACTTGTGTGTGTATATTTGTGTGTGTTTGTTGAGAGATATTGAGAAGACTGCAGATAACTAGCAAATGAAATGGAAAAAAATCCTTAAATATAAATAAAGAGTGAGAAGCAACAAAGAAATTCACCTCTAACTTCTGGCATAATGAGGGCTAACATACTGCAATGGTTAGAACCTATAGAGAAAATGGCAAATAACGGTCAAAAACAGTACACACAAAAGTTGAATGGTCGTAGACAAATAGACAGAACAAGAAGATTGTCGAGGGGTGATATCCAGCAGCCCAGCAAATACTTGGAGTCACTTATTAGAATGAGGAGACAAATCAAAGAGGTGAAACCAGGCGGGCGGTATCTACAGCAATGAAACGCTAGGGTTCAGAATGCTGCTGCAGAAAAAGAAGATAAAATACCATAATTACCAACGTGTTTTGCAGGTTTTCTGTAGAATGTAACTTATTATACAGAGCTATGTAAAGGCTTCTGATCTTTCTCCAGCGACAATGTTTTTTGTTAGTTAGTTAGTTAGTTAGTTAGTTAGTTAGTTAGTTAGTTAGTTAGTTAATTAGTTAGTTAGTTAGTTAGCTAGCTAGTTAGTTAGTTAGTTAGTTAGTTAGTTAGTTAGTTAGTTAGTTAGTTAGTTAGTTAGTTAGTTAGTTAGTTAGTTAGTTAGTTAGTTAGTTAGTTAGTTAGTTAGTTAGTTAGTTAGTTAGTTAGTTAGTTAGTTAGTTAGTTAGTTAGTTAGTTAGTTAGTTAGTTAGTTAGTTAGTTAGTTAGTTAGTTAGTTAGTTAGTTAGTTAGTTAGTTAGTTAGCTAGTTAGCTAGTTAGTTAGTTAGTTAGTTAGTTAGTTAGTTAGTTAGTTAGTTAGTTAGTTAGTTAGTTAGTTAGTTAGTTAGTTAGTTAGTTAGTTAGTTAGTTAGTTAGTTAGTTAGTTAGTTAGTTAATCCAAAGAGTATCCTCACTGCACGTCAGACAAGCCCATAGGTGCTCGGATCCCATCTTCAGTATATTCCTAAGCGTTTAGCGATGTTAACACTCCAGTTCTGTGTTGGTTTACTAATTCTTCTTTGGCTACCTGTATAGCGTTCATGTTTGACGACACCTCTTTTGACCTGAAGTTCTTGTAATCTTTCTGAATTTTACCGATTCAAAGTCGTCTCTTGAATGGTCTTCTCGCCTCACCTCCTTGAGAGCATTAAGAATGTCAACCCGGGGCATTACTTTTCCTGTACCTACTGTGGTCTTGCCAACAAGCCACTCCACTCGTTCCCTTCCTCTTACCCCAGAGTGTCCTGGCACAAATATGAAACCAATTCTTTTCAGACGACATTTCCTAAGAGACTCCAACCATTTTCTTCGAATCCACCCTGTCTCTATATTCTAGAACATGCTCATGGAATCACGCAGAAAACACGAATGGGGAAAAGGATGTGTTCTAGCCTCATCATTGCTTTTGTTACAGCCATCACCTCCATTGTCAAACTACTTGTAGTCGGGGCAAAAGTCTTCTTTCCACTGTTGAGTGGAAAGTCTGAGTGCTCAAAAGAGTCGAATGTAAGATGGGTGAGTCTGCATACTGCATGATCCAGGATGATTCGCCCAGTTCCCCTGTCTCGTGCCCTTTCATATTCAGTGTGCCTTTATTGTTGTGTGTCAACTTTAATTAAATATGCAATGAACAGAATCTCAGCACTGGGGATATTTACACAATCGCTCTGATCTCATCATAGGCTAACAGCTCAGAATTCAAAACCTAAAGGTAAAGTTGTAGCCTGATTATTTGTTAGTCTGGCCATTCTCTGAGTGTTGTATGCTGGCCATATGTCCTAATGAAACCTGTTTGTGGCACTCTTTCCAGACCACGGTGATCTGTTCGCTCCTAGGCTTTGTTCATTTTATCTACAAAAAAAGTATATTACTTGCTTTTTATGATACCGTTTACTCGCCTAACATATTGAGCTTTCCAAATTGGCGACTATGAAAACTGGCAGAAGCTGTGGCGATTATAACAAACAATCCAGTGTTAAACAGAAGAATCCCATGATTAATCGTGACTTTAGCGGTCAGATGTACAGTGTCAAAGTGGATAATGCCATTTGAAAATATCAGTTAAGAGGATTTGGTTTCGTACTTTAGCGTTTACAAGTAAAAGTAAAGGATCCTTTCACACCTTCAGGCATATTGGGCATATAGGGCTAGAGCTATGTTTTATAGACCAACTAGCATTTTGGTGTGTAATGTGATTAGTAACACGCCTGCCGCCTTCACCTCACAGGGCTGTAGCTGGTACTCATTCAAGGCTGGCTCGACCTGCGACGCAAGGTCATTTTTGAGAACAGTCCGGCTCCGCCAGGACCGGAACCTAGGACCTTCAAATACGCAGAGGAACCTCTAGCAGCTACACCACGACTGCTCCCACTACAGCCTACACCTTGATGTAATTTTTTTGTTTGTAGTAATGCACCTGAAGAGATCAAGTGAAATATGAAAGGCAATGACATGACATGTCTGTGTCTACCTTGTGTAAATTCACATGCTAAAAGAATGTTTTGAATTGCATATTACTCATGTTTTTTACTGTTCTATTGGTTTTCTCTATTACAGAAAAGTGACGGGAATTCCAGTAAAGATTTTAAAAAGACTAGAACAAGAGACGACATTGTAGATGTCATGAAATCCTTTATTGGAGCCAGTGAACAAATTGCAGTAGGTGTAAAATATTTGCATCTGTGCCTATTTCTTCGTGTTTCTTCGAAATCAAGACCGAGTCTTATATTAATTATCTTCACCGTGTGGGTTCTGAAGCCCAGTTGTGAGGAAAACAATAATAGATTTACCCCCCCCCCCCCCCCCCCCCCCCCAAGCACGTCATAGGAGTCGAATAACTGGAGGCTTCTTTCGAAGTATGAGTGCATCTGCCCAAGCGGCAAGGAACAACCAGCTGCACATAAATAAGCCAGTAAAACAGATGTACGCGCAAAAATCAGGTTTTGGTACAAAGCCAAAATCTAAATGGACGAAGAACCAGGACTTTCCACTAGAGCTTATATTAGGTGAACAAAGAAGAAAAAGGTGAAGAAAGAAGAATGATATATTAATTTCTGCTTAAGAATGCACTATAGCTTATTTTTGTTTTTAAATTTTTAATGTGTTTTTTTTTTTTTTAAATTCAGATAAAAAAATCTATATTTTTTCAAATGCAAAATTCTACATTTTTTGTTTCAAATACAATCATGTCGTTTTCTTCTGGATCATCGTCACAGCTCTCTAAATCCTGAATTCTTATCTGAATGTCCTGCGAGTCCATTTCATGTGAAACCATTGGCCTCACTGGCGTCTGTACTTCCACTGGCCATTCGGCAACTGGCAATTCTAGCTGGCGTTCCTAACTACAGTCGGTTCAGGTTTCATGAACACGTTTGCAATCTGTTCTCTGGAAAACTGCATCTTAGAAAGCATTGATCTTTTTTTGCATGCAGCCTTTGAATATCCATGACGCAAAAATAGTGTTTTTCTTTAGTCCATTGATGCTCTGGATTTTGCTAATCAACCAATTCCTTTGATCTTTTCTAACCATTGTAAAAAAGTAAAATGCAATTTTAGATTTTGCAATGAACATTTTAATTTCAAGTTCAATTAGTCAGCCAGACTGTTAGGATATCAGTCAGTCAATCATACAGCAAATCAGTTTGTTACTTTGCCCCGTCTGTGTAAAGCCGTTGTCGTTTCAAATAAACAAATATTTTGTCCTAAGTTATTAACATAATAACCTTACTGCACAGAAGAAGTTCAGATACATAAATCTAAACTTATTCATGTACGACCAAACAATTATTTTGCCTAAAGTTATTCAAAAAATAACCATATTCTAGAGAAACAGTTAACAGTGATTATTACCGTAGATTTGAATAATGTACTGTAACAACACACTGATTACTTGCTGTCGACCAGCCTGGTTTCGAAGGGTACCCATAGTAAATCTGGACGACCAGCCTGAGACCTGACATAGTTCTGCACTCTGCGGAAAAACAACAGCTCATCCTGATTGAGCTGACCGAGCCGTTTGAGTCGCTAATAGACAAAAATCCCACGTACAATCTCGAGAAGTACGGAGATCTCGTGACCGGTGTGAGGAGAGACGAAGCGTACACAGTAAAAATCGTTGCCGTCGAGGTAGACACAAGAGGTCTTATCTCCATTTCCATGTACATTGTGCTAAAGCACCTGGGATTTCAATGAAACGAGCATAAACGGTCACTAAAACAACTGGGCGAAGCTGTTGAAAGAGCTTCGAGCATGCTCTGCACGCAATGAAACATCGTGAGGGATGGGCCTCGGATGACTGGTCTGAGTCCCTAAAAGAAAAGAAAAAAAAATGTCTTATCCTTTAAAAGCCAGTGTGTCCGATAAATGTGTACCGGTGTCTCTCTGCCAAATGCCAAAGTCTAACAATTGACCGATGAACCATCCACAAGCTTGTCACTCTGGCCGTGAAGGTAGTCGACCGAGCTAATTTGCAACCGCAGCGACAACCTATCACCAAATCTCATAGCACGTATTAAGTAACCATATCCTCTTGTCCCTATCGAATCCGATGAAGTGCAGCAGGGGAAGATCGGGGCCTGGCTTCATGACCCAGGTCGGCCCACCTCCGAGATTGTTTAGGGAAGCAATGGGCCAAAACGGTTGTCGACGAAAGAACTCTACTGATGACTGGGGGACTCCTACTGTGCATGCTCGTGTGGAGAGTTCTTTTTTATTATTATTGTTAATCCCCTGTACCCAGCTGATGCCTGTTACGATCCTGTCAAACGTAAATCAAATATCAATATTTCTGTTGCAGGAAAAGTACATCAATAGACTAAAGGAGATGATGGCAACACAAGAGACATCAGACTTCTTTCTAAAACACGAGGTAAATATACATGACATCTTCAGCTTCTTGTTTGTTCACCGGCTGTAAGCTGCGGTGAAAAGTCCTGGTTGTTCGTTCATTTAGATTTTGGATTTGTACCAGGACCTGAGTTTTGCGTGTGCATCCGTTTTACTGGCTTATTTGTGTGCAGTTAGTCGTTCATTGCCGCTCGGGCAGAGGCACAGACTTCAAAGGAAAACGCCTGATTAGTCGACATTTACGACATGATTTTTGTGTAGGTAGTGACTCTATTCTCCCCCCTCCCACCTCCCCTCCCACAATAGGACCCGAAACCCACAAGGGGAATATGATATCTGAAATTAGATAGCTAAAAGGTTGACATTAGTTAACTAGTCGGTGGCTAGGAGATATAGTCAAAGATACTTAGTAAACTAGTTGTTAACATTGCGTAATTAATCGATGTCATCAGCTAACTAGTGGACAGGCATGCTCCGTGCAGAGTGGTAAGTATCGCTTCACAGGTCAATTGTCGTTCTTTGGATACTTTCTCCATGATATGTTGGAGTGCTGGAAATGGAACAGATAAACATACCAACTAGTTCTGCACCACTGGGTGGTGATTTTATGCATGCCAAACTAGACCAAAGTCCTTTGAGAGCCAGTGAACAATGTTGAGGCGCGCATAGTGCGTTATGGTCTGCAGAAAATAGAAAAAAGAATACACTTAACAACATACAAAACAAAAGATTAAGTCACCGTGCTGGAAAACGAACTTGTCACCTCCAAATGGCATGTGCGCCTCGCTATGAAAAAAAGTTTACTAAGATACATGACCAGCTAGGCACCCCTAAAAAATGTGTCTTTATCGGCCATGTCTATCGTACAGCTTGAAATTCACAACTGTGGAATACAGACGGAATACATCGGTGTTTTAGCATGCCCCTACTAAACAAAAAATGTGCAAGCATAATAATGTAAACTCTTTGAGTCACAAAGAACACATCATATGTTCATTGATTGCTACCTAGAAGCCAACTGAACGCAAGATGCGCCTATTTGTCTTCTCTCTTGACTATCCCTTGGGCCTCTGATGCCAAACCCCCAGGGACTCAAAGAGTTAACTGGCGCATATAAGTCAATCCAGTCTCACATTGTGTGTTGTTTCAAGACTGAAATGTTTAAGTACTTTTTAAAACACCGTTAATTTTCCTTTTACGTTAGGTAATAAATTGTTGTTTTTCCTATTTCCTCTAGATTATAGGCAGCTCCATTCTGTTTGTCCACGACGCCGACGAAAACGTTGGCGTGTGGATGATAGACTTTGGCAAGACACAGCTGCTTCCACCGGGCTTGAAAATTGACCATCGCAGCACCTGGCGCGAGGGCAACCACGAGGACGGATATTTATTTGGACTTGATAATCTCATTTCTGTTCTGGAAGATGTCCACAGAAGTCTTGTTCCAAGCTCGGTTTAGTTCTAAGAATCCAAATATTACAGCCTTCCCCCCAAGGGTTGTATATTGCAGACTTTATTATAGGAGATTTAAAGCCACGATCTCCCATTGTGAATGTAAATACTGAAGACACAGACATCAGACTGCACAATTTATTCCATACAGTTCTGGATTTAGGCATTAAGCATAATAAGCTACTGCTTAGTACCTCATAATCTTCAAGAGCCTAAAAAAATCTCTTGTGTGTGTGTGTGTAGTAACTTAGAGTATTTTAGATGTTTATATAACATAATTTCTTCACTTTGCCAAAAAATTATGTATTACCTTTTGTGACAAAAATTAAAGGACGAAATATTTCTATTATCCATATATTTAAAAAGCGTTGAAAAAAATTATTTTTTATGAGATTGGTTGGGGTAATTTAAAACGGTGAAAAGTTATCTGACAACTGCGGAGATGTGGTTTTATAGACAAATGGTTAGAATACCCAGGACGGATAAAAGGAGTAATGAGGATGTCTTGAAAGAAACCGATTCACAAAGAGAACTGATTGCCCACATCAGAAAGAGACAATCTACATTCTTTGTTCATGTGGTGAGAAGGAGTCAACTGGAATACACCGTGACAGTAGAAAAGTTGGAGTGGAGGAGAGGCAGAGGGAGACCTCGAGAAAAGATGCTGGACGGTTTGACATCATAGCATGGAGGATCATCTATTTCAGAATTGATTGAAAGTACACGAGACGGAAGGTTGTGGATGACTACTAGCGCCACATGGCAGGGACTTATAGAATTTAAAACAGTAGTGACCCAAGGGTTTGTATAGCATAAAATCTCTTTGTCTAAATCCGACCCTGATTGCCTGGTATTTTATTCTCTATCTCATCGGATGCACGCTATCAGATTTCTTCTTCTTTTTCTTCTCTTCCACCATTTACCCCAGCGAGGTGTTGTGGTTAGACGTAAGGATCGTTTGTACGCCTTTTCCAGTGCATTGTACAAGTTGGTGCTCATATCTGTAAATTGCTCTTAACTCTTTGAGTCCCCGGGGGTTTAGCATCACAGGCCCAGGGGTCCGTAGGGTTCGATTCTCGCGGAAGGAATCAAGATTTAAACATGAGCAGGATGACAGACTGGCTGCTGCCGCTCCTCTCTGTGCTGATTTTTTTTTTTTTTTTATAAAGCGAACTTGATGAAGACTTTCTGGGTTCAAATTGACAGCGCAATAGAACAGATACGAATTCGTACACCGAAAGACTAATTCAACGGGGTGGTGAATAGAGAATTGTGAAAATATCGGTAGACAGGCCAAACAATTTTTAGAGGCCTCAGAGATGTGGTTTTACAGGAGGATGCTTAGAATACCTTGGACAGCCAAAAAGAACAACCAAGAGGTTTTGAAAGAGGCGGGAGCAAGAAGAAAACTTATCACAGACATCATTTTTCGGCCATCTTATGAGAAGAGGGAAAATAGAACATGTTGTGACCACTGGAAAGATCTGTGGAAGGAAGGATAGAGGAAGACAACGAGAGAAGATGCTTGACAGTCTTGTTGCATGGCATGGAGGTGTGTTGGCACACGAACTGATACATGCTGCAGGAGATCGCAGATTATGGAGAGGCATGATCGCCCACGCCAGTCGACAAGGCACCTGATGATGAGGATGATGAAGATATTCAACGCTGAGGGAGAAACATAGGCAGTTTGGAAGAGATGGAAGCATCACTACGCAGTATATCCTTGGCTGTTTAATTAGGGTTTTGTATACTAATATATTTTTACTTGAATATATGTTGATATGTAAATACAATGTTTTAAATAAGTATTATATTTTAATGGTCTAACTGAAGGACACTTTCTTAGCCCAGCAATCTCTTGAGTTCGGCTCCTGTTTGAGGTCCTTCGTTAATTAATTTAGTGGATTATAAAAGTGTGCAAATTTATATCCCCAGCCAAAGGAAGCCGCCACTGAAATACTGAAAAGAGGAAGGTCTTGGGTGGCGCGAGCTGAAGACACAATTAGAACTGTGTGTAGGCTTGATAACATTGAGCCAGGAGAGGAGTGGGTCAAAATGTCTCAGCAAAAGTCAGGGTTCTGATCACACAGGGCCGTGAATACAGCGGGCTCTGCAGAATCAGAAGTTCAACAATTGAGTCATGACAATTCTCGAACAGGTGATGTGATTATCTATACAGATGACAGAAGAAGCTCACGGGGGTTCTTAACAGAAGTGAATGGACGTAGCTTAGTGCAACAAAGCCTGGGACATGACACCACAACATCTAGTTTGAGAATAGGGGTGAAGGCAGTCACGGCAGACTTTCGCTGGCTTGAGACTCAGCTGTCCATATATGTCGTAATTGTAACCGACTCACAGAGTATGTTGAAAAGGGTGAAGACCGGTATGTTCCGTGAAGAGTGACAAGCATCGCTTCAGAGGTCCCGTGTAGTTAGCGTCCTTTGGATATTCTTCAGAATATGCCGGTGTGTTAGGAAATAAACGGGCAGATAGTCTTGCTGGTTCTGCCCAAATTGATGGCGATTTGATGCATGATGAGCTAGATATTGTAAGGGCCTTTGTGGGCAAGTGAACAGTGCGAACGCTTTGATATATCATGATGGTCTGAGTTGAGTGGTGCTGCGAGAAGTGATCAAGAGATCTGGCCGACGTTTAAAACTCAAGGAAAAGGCGAGACAGATACATAGTAAGACTGTTACTGGTACCATTGGAGTTGGAACTCTGCGCTTGCTGCTGAAGGTCAGGACGGAGCGCCTAGTGAAATGTCGATTTTTAATTAAACATTTTTTTTTTATTGCTCTTGTAGCGCCAGTGACAAACCACTATTTTAATCGTTCGGCCGATCTTTCTCCTTAGGACCCAACGAAGAGAGATAATACTTGCGACTCTATCAATCTTGAGATTTCTTGCATAATATATTGTACGTATCTATATTACTCATGTGTTTGTGAATTTGTTAATATGATAAATTACTATAATAAAATCGAGTTTTGTAACGATGTTTACACGTATGTCTTTGTTTATGAAATAATGAGCAAGTACATATGTGTGTTACCAGCATTTTTCAGGATTTTTCACTACACAGTTAGGTTAGTTGCGTATCTTTACAGGACTTTGCAGAACCAACCCCAACAGCCCCGGGCCGTTGTGTGGTTTTTCTAGGCAAATTTACTTCCAGTAGTTTGCCATTGCTTCTGGACGTTGGGCTTGATACCACTGTCGAAACCAGCGCAAACGCATGGCCCGCAGCTGGGATCGAATCCGGCATCCCGGCATTACGAAGCGTTCGCATCGACTTAGCCACAGAGCCGACTTTCCACTACACACAGTACGAAAATGGAGGTAGTAAGGACAGTAACGATAGCTTTCCGATGGCTTGAGAGCCGTAAAGCCCGACATGTTGTAATTGTAACGGATTCAGGGCGTGCTTTAGACACTTTAAACGGGTATCCTGCGCATAGAGTAGGTTAAATACCCTGATAAGGCTCAGTTCAGAAGCACATAATGAATGTTCTGTCTAGGATATTCAGATGTGCAAGGTAACGAGCCGTCTGTCAAATTAGCTGCTGTCGCTCCTTTGGGTGGTGAACTACTTTATGATAAACCAAACGGATTGAAGGTTCACATAGCCCTGTGCTATCTGTGTATGTCAAATAACTTGCCATCAATAAAAAAATTCATCCTGGTGAGGGATTGTCATCGGAGCCTCAGATGCACTGGTTTAACCAGGGACCCGTGATGCTGCCTACTGTCCTATAAACCACATAGGATCACAGAAGGAATTTTCTGTTCAGGATATTGAAGTGTGCGAGGTAACGAGCCGTCTGTCAAATTAGCTGCTGCCACCCCTTTGGGTGGTGAACTACTTTATGATAAAGCGGACGCGGGGAAGGCTGGCTGATATCAAATGGACAGTGCAATAGAACAGGCAGAGAATTCTTACACTAGAAAACTAATTTAAAGTGGACGAAAGAAAGGTTCTGGAAGATATTAATCACTGAGGAGGGAAACATATCATCATCAGGTACCATGCCGACTGGCGTGGACGATCATGCCTCTCCACAATTTGCGATCTCCTGCAGCATGTATTAGTTCGTTTGCTGACACACCTCCATGCCACGCGAGAAGACTGTCAAGAATCTTCTCTTGTTGTCTTCTTCTATCCCTCCTTCCCCAGATCTTTCCAGTGGTCACAACATATTCCATTTTCCTTCTTCTCATAACATAGCCGAAAAATGATGACTGTCTCCTTCTGATGTCTGTGATTAGTTGTCTTCGTGCTCCCGCCTCTTCCAAAACCCATTGGTTGCTCTTGTGGGTGTCCAAGGTATTCTAAGCATTCTTCTGTAAAACCACACCTCTGAGGCCTCGGGACATTGTCTGGCCTGCTTTCTACCAATGGGAAACATATGCGGACTTTTAATAAGGTACAGAGCATGATCCGAGTTCAGTATTTTCAATTCTTGGTTCATTCATTCACAAAATAGGGCCCATAAGAGAAGCGAGGATAGTGAGTAAAGGACCCTTTTTATGAATTTCGCGCATCTAGTGCTTGATCTATGTTTGCATAGGCCTATTGGTACTGGATTGGTGATGTGGTCATCATCACGCCGATCCCCTTTACGTCCCAGGGCATTACATGGTACCTAATTTAGACTGGATTGACACGGGAGCAAAAAGTAGGTTTTGAAAAAAATTATGCGTCGACCTGGAAATGAACCTTTGATCTTCGGGCCAGCAAGCAAGCGTGTAGCGATGATGCTAACCTTTAACCCTCGTACTATGAATATTTTTAAGACTGTTGGAATTTTGTTGATAACGATGTTAAGTTGAGGTGAGTCAAGAGTTGACATCACAGCACTCGGGGTACTTCCATGCCTGCTCCGTCCTCATCTTCAGCAGCCAGCGCAGAGTTCCAATACTAAAGGTACCTGTTGTAATCTGGTTATATGTCCATTTTGCTTTTCCTCTAAGTGTAGTGAGTCGGCCAGACCCTCTGGT